CTCTTTACGGGTTGGCTCCTCAATGACTTGTTTTAGAGACAATCCCAGTAGAGAGTTTAGAATATGTGTGTGACAGACCCATCTGTCTGGATTATAACTGCGTTGTTCGTCTGTTTTTCCGTTTTCATGAATTTCCCCGTTCGTATGCTTTGTTTAAGGGAATGTCGGTTTTGTCGAACGGAACTACCGAACGGACGGCCACCCAGAAGAGAAGTGTGCTGCTGGTTAACCTATTGATCCCAATTAGAACGTTGCGGTTAACCACAGACACTTCTCAATTAAAACCGAATGCCGGGTGGTCGCCGTTCGTATGTCGACCACGAGGCGGCGGCCATTTTGTCCATGCGAACGACCAGCGGTGTTCAACGATTATTTCATGGATCGGAAAACGGACACTTTTTCAGCCGAACACCGCTGAAGCCGTCGACCTCCCCTTCTCAATCGACAAAAGCATGCGAACGACAGCCGTTCGGGAGATTCAACCACACGAATGGACGTAACCCAGATAGCTGTCCCATGGAGTCAATCGCATACCGAAGAACTGAAAGAGACTTTGACTCCATGGCGATTGAACTGTGCGAATGGGATCTGAGCGCTATTCTCCAATAATGTGCACTCAGATCCAGGCTATCTGGGGATATGCAAGACTGATGTAAAATGTCCAGCAGTTATTAAGTTATGGATTTTTGTGTGTTTTTGTAACTTGTATCCAAAATGGCGATTGCCTCTGCTCGGGGAGATAATTGAATTACTTCCCAATTATCCCCCGAGCAGAGGGGAGGGAACTGTACTGCATGCTGGGAATATTGTGGGGATGTATGTCCAGAATGTCCCCATGTCCCTCTGTGATTTCAGTCTCCCATTTGGTCCCCTAGTGGAGTGTCCACCAAGTGGGAGACCTGCATAAATACCGGGCAGGTAGCCCACAGTAAACCAGTTCGTGTTTTACCCTCAAAGCGGAGCTTGGTCTCGTTATTGGGGGGATTTGGATACCAGCGGCGAGAGACTGCTTACTTGGATTATTTGCCGCTTGGGAGAGATTGTCGTTCGGTTATTAATTGCCGTTCGTGGATTTGCGGCTTGCGAAGGGAATTAGCCGTACAGGTACCGTTCGGGAGTTTGGAGTGTTCCCTGGCTGGCGGTTCGCATGGTTTTATTATACCCGCTACCCGACCACATTATTGCGAACGGGGAATACTCGCTAAACGGCGGTTTTGTACGTTTCGTTCCTGGAGGTACCGTAACAACTGGTGGCAAGCGACGGGATGATCCTCAACGCCCAAAGAGACCATTACAACCAGGACTAAATGGAATTACAATACCAAAACCTGAGGAGGGCTACCCTAAAGGATTTATTGAAGCAAAGAGGGGGACAAGCCAGTAACCTCAGGAAGAGGGATATTATTGCGTTATTGCTGGAAATGGATGGAGTACCAGCGGCAGAGGGAACCAATGGACCCAGCGCAGCTGACAGAACCCCCGAGGAGGCAAGCTTTGACCGGGCGGTAAGAATCAGGCTGGCCCATTATGGTCCCAACCCGACTACAGAGACCATTGACCGGGTCATGGCAGCTGTGGAGGCCAACCTGCTTCGCCAAAGCGGTGCTGCAGCAGCCCCAGTCACAGCAAACCCGGGGGATAGGAAAAAGGTACCATTCACTGCGTTTAAAGCCTTCAGTGAAACAGAAGGAGAGATTGATGGGTACCTTGCTGATTTTGAGCGGCAATGTGCCCTGCACAAGGTACCCCTGGAAGACTGGGTCACTATATTGTCCGGCAAGTTATCCGGCCGGGCCAGCGAGGCATTTCGGGCCATTCCTGATGAGGAGATTGGGGATTATGTGGCCGTCAGGGAAGCTTTACTCTCCCGGTATGCCGTTACACCTGAGGCATACCGGAGGAGGTTCCGAGACACCGTCAAGACCTCTGGGGACTCATACGTGGAATGGGCATGTAAGGTGCATCGCACAGCCGCCCACTGGATGGCGGGGTGCCAGGCTGTGTCCGGAGAAGAGGTGCTGCAGATGTTTCTTTTGGAACATTGTTTTGATAAATTGCCAGCAGGGGTCAGAGAGTGGGTAAGGGACCGCAAACCCTCCACTCTGCACGAAGCAGCTCGCCTGGCGGATGAGTATACCGACGCCCGCAAACTGGACAGTCTCATCAGCAAGGCTCCCGCCAGAGTGGAATACAGGCCAACAGCACCAATAGCAGCCAACCTATACCAGCCTCCCATGAATCGCCCATCGGCACCGCCTCCATCTGCCCCGTACCAGCAGACACCTCGGTTCAACTCACGGGAGTATGCCCAACCCATTCGGTGCTACCTGTGCAAGCAACTAGGGCACAAGCGACCCGAGTGCCCGATGAACAGCGCCAACCAGAACCCGTCCTGGAGGAGACCAGCCGGAGGCAATCCACGACCCCCCATCCCAGCCGCTCACTGTGTAGAGGAAGAGGAGTGCTGGGGCATCCTGCATGAGGCAGACCCCGTTCAGGCTGCCCACCGGGATAACAGGCAGCACCACCGACAATGTGTAAAAGTCAATGGGAAGGAGGTCAGTGGTCTACGGGATACCGGGGCAACCATGACTTTGCTCCAGAAACACCTGGTATCCGAAGCCCAACATACAGGGGACACCGTCGCCGTACGAGTAGCTGGAGGTGCCGTGTTCCGTCTGCCCGTTGCCCGGGTACATTTGGATTGGGGAGTGGGCGCTAGACATGTGAATGTGGGGGTCATGAAGGACTTACCAGCGGATGTCCTCCTTGGCAATGACTTGGCGCCCCTTGTTTCCGCCTACGCTCCCATGGGTCCTGCTGAAGTGGACGTTGTCACGACCCGTGCCCAGACCCGTGCCGCCGAGACCGGCCCACCTGCTGTTGAGACCCAGGTAAGACTCTCCACCCCGACTTGTACCTTAGACCAGGCCCCTTTAGGCTGGGATACCCCAGAGATATACGGGAAGGAAACCAGGGAAGACCCGACGCTAGCAAAGTACAGGGCCAGGGCCGCTTCTGGGGGAGAAGGAGTAGATGGGGAGCACTACGAGTGGGTGGGGGATAGACTCTACAGGATCCCGAAACCGCCCCAGAAGCCAAATACCCCTCCGCAGAATCGACAGCTAGTGGTGCCCGCAAAATACCGGCAGGAGATTCTGCGGATTGGGCATGATGTGCCATTAGCCGGCCATCTAGGTTCCCGCCGCACAGCTCATAGGATCACGCAAAATTTCTTCTGGCCCAATTTTAACCGAGATTGTGCGGGTCTATTGTAGCACGTGTGACACCTGTCAACGGGTAGGTAAGCGGGGGGATCACCCAAAAGCTAGGCTTCAGTCGATGCCTATCATTGGAGAACCCTTTTCCCGCATAGCCGTTGACATTGTGGGTCCACTGGCCAGGGCTAGTCCATCAGGTAAGAAGTATATTCTCACCGTGGTGGACTATGCCACACGTTACCCAGAGGCAGTAGAGCTGTCCAATATAGAGGCAGAGACGGTTGCTGATGCCCTGGTTAAAATCTTCACTAGGGTCGGGTTCCCTCAGGAGATCCTCTCCGATCAGGGAACCCAGTTCACCGCTGTGCTTACCCAGCAGCTGTGGAAGGTGTGCGGTATTAAACCTCTGCTTAGCTCACCTTATCACCCACAGACTAACGGTCTCTGCGAGCGATTTAATGGCACCCTCAAACAGATGTTGAGGACCTTTACTGACACTTGCAGAGACTGGGAGCGATTCCTGCCTCATCTATTTGCATACAGAGAGGTGCCTCAGGAATCTACTGGGTTCTCCCCCTTTGAGTTACTCTATGGGAGAAGGGTCCGTGGACCCCTAGACCTCATTAGAGGACACTGGGAGGGGGTGACAGAGCAAGAAGGGACCCCCATAGTACCATATGTCCTGGAACTCCGGGACCGCATGGAGAAACTGTCCCTGATGGTAAGGGAGAATCTCCAGGCGGCCCAGGGGAGACAGAAACGGTGGTACGATCGGGGTGCCCGACAGCGGATCTTCCAGGTTGGGCAGAAGGTTCTGGTACTCAAGCCTGTGAAGACGAACAAGATGCAAGCATCTTGGCAGGGCCCCTATAAAGTGTTAGCTCAGGTGTGTGATACTACCTACCTTATAGCCAGCTGTTCAGATGAAAGGATTCAGCGATCCTTCCATGTGAACATGCTGAAGGAGTATCAAGAACGACCAGAGGATTTTGCGGCAGTATGTGCCCCAGCTACTGACGACCCCGAGAACTTACCGTTACCTGACTTGCTAGAGAGGGACCCCCAGACAGACCTTACTAGTCTTGTACAGCTAGGGGACCGACTAAACCCGGCGGAGAAGGTACAGGCAAGACAATTACTGTGGGAGAAGCAGGCCACGTTCTCCCAGGAACCCGGGTACACTACCCTAGCTGTACACAAGGTCGAGACACCCGGACAGAACCCCCTACGGCAACCCCCATACCGTATCCCTGAAGCAGTCCGAGAAGGAATGCGGAAGGAGATACAGGAAATGACCAGACTGGGGGGTATCGAACATTCGGACAGTCCTTGGGCCTCGCCTGTAGTTCTGGTGCCTAAGAAAGATGGGACCACCCGGTTCTGTGTGGACTACAGGCGGCTCAACGAGCGGACCACCACTGACGCCTACCCGATGCCCCGGGTAGACGTGTTATTAGACCGTATTGCCAGGGGGCGCTATCTGACCACCATAGACCTGTGCAAAGGCTATTGGCAGATCCCCTTGGCCGAGGATGCTATCCCTAAGTCGGCATTCGTCACCCCATTTG